ATTGAGCAAGTACTGACAGGAGAAGTTAGAAACCACTCTGATTCTGGAGGTGGGATTGAGAAGGAGAGAATCAGCAGAGCCAAAGATTAAGACTTAGTCAGCTCAAGCCCCTTTGCTAGGAACTGTAATGTAGTTACCTCCATTTTAGCATTTGTCCATCGAGGTACTTCCACAACCATGTTGAACACATTCTGAAGAAAGCAAAACATCAGTGAGTGGGAAGGAAGACCACACTTTAAACTAGGAAACACATGCCAGCCAGCTCCCATGAAACCCTAAGATTTTTTTCTGTGGTTTTTTTTTTTTTGATGCAGCTGATGAAACTCCCATAGCCCAGTCAGTCACATGTCATCACTTAAAGCTGAATCCCAGAAAAGACCCCAGCAAAGGCCAGATTGAGGTTACCCACACATTCTGCAGGTTACCCCCACATTCTCCATCAGTTGCCACCTACAAACATCCCCATCACATTCCTAGGACACAGAACAGCAGGTTAAATGAACTGAAGACAGCTGCACACAAACTATCCTGGACGTAACAAAAGGAGGTTTGGGGCATATTTATTAAATACAAAGTGCTTAATGTTCCAGCGAGGGCCGCTCTGGCCATCTAGAAAAGATAAGACTAACAGGAACAAGCCACCAACTTAATAATGTGGGTATCTATGTTCTGCCCTGAATGACCGAGGACATCGCTCCCAAATATCTGTCTGATGTAGGGAAGGATGCCCTCTCTCCAAGCTGACACTCCTAGAAAAGAAGACCTCGTTAGTGGCATGGTGTGAGGATAAAGGTGGGGGAGGAGAAATGCAGAACCACATCTTGCAGTATTTAGTTTACAGGTGATGCTTGGAAACATCTCCTGTTGATCCCGTTGGGCTGAGGCCTCTTGAGACCTCAGTGTCAGCCTCCTCATCCAGAAAAGCTTTTCCACACCTGAACCTCAACATCTGCTGCTTGAAGAGATTATGGCTTTTCAACAAAAAGTCAAACCTTGCTCCCTAGCCTGGCCAAGGTTTCTAATCCCCACCTTAAGCTGTATTAGCACAGCAAAGTCCCTCGAACGTGTATTGTGCCATTATTAGACTGATACTGTGCAACAAGCACTGCTGCATCACTGACTTTGCTCACACCCTGCCCTAGCAGAGGTTTATTACCCCCCTCAATTGCAGGGGTCACTGCTCATTTGCGTTTTGCATGTAAAAAGGTACACCCTGTTTTTATTCCTAACTGGAGGAGAGGAATGAGGCACTGGGATCAGGCTGGGCAGGGTGCTCACGGCTCTGCAGGCAGGGAAAGGTGACTTGGAGCTGCATCTTTGTAAGGCCTGGAGTTCCCCCACTGTCAGATCTGCCTTGGCCTAAGACACTCAGTGAGCAGCCCAAGGTCGTTCCAAGGCACTCAGGTACAGATAAGACCAACACAGCCCAGCCCCAGACCGGAAAAAACACCCTGCAATCCTCTCAGCGTCTTAGGAGTCTAAGGATAAAGATCAAGGAGCCCAGACAGAGTGAGACAACCTTTGGCTCTGAGCTGGGCTCTGTAACAGAGCTGGCAACCCACCTGCTCAGTAATGAGTTAAACCTCAGTGCAGAGGCACTCGAGCCACAGAGGGAGGCCCGGTGTGATCAGCACCATTGTGTAACTTTGGGGACTGAGACCTTCAGTGCCTGGGACTCTTTTCTCTGAATGACTTGGCACGGAGGTGCTGGCAGCAGCCCTGTGTGCCTCAGGTAAACACCAGTAGCTTGGTTTCCCCTGTTAAGCATTACCAGTCCATGGAAACCCTCCCCACCCCTGTGCTCACTCCCCTGCTCCTTCCTCCCCTGTTCTGCGAGCATCTGCAAAGCAGGATTATCCGGATTTGCCTTGTCTGGGGTTACCTTTCAGACACCTGCACTGAAAACTGCTTCCCCACTCGGCCACAGGAACTGCTTCACCTCTGTCCTTGATGACTACAGTCCATCATTTCCCTTCTGAGCAGGCAAAAGCCACCTCAGGCTTCCTGGAGCACCCCAGGTAGCTCCATCACCTCCACCTCAGTAGCTCAATCCGCTGCCTTTTTTAGACGTTCATCTCTCAACTCAGAATATTCTTTTCCTTTCCCAGAACCACTCTACACCTCCGAATTACATCTCTGTCTAATGAACATTAGCTCATCCACTGCATTTCTCAAGCTGCACAGCTTTTTAGTACATATTAGAGGAAGAGATGAGCTACAACAGCACAGAACACAGTCAGAGAGCTCAAGGTGCCAGTGAATGTGCAGTCAGTGAAAAATGAATCACAACCATTTTGGCTTCCTGGAGCTGGGGCTTTTCTGGTTCAGAACAGCCTAATTTGACTCACAGCTGGCTGATGAAAGGATGTGAAAGCCCTGCAGCACTGCATGGGGCAGGTTCTGAGAGGCACAAGGTCCTAGGAGATGCTAAAGCAGGAATTCAACATCCTTACCCTCTGTTCAGTGTTGGATTACACTGCAGGCATAAAGTGGCTGCACTGCAGTCAAACCCCAAGCCTGAAATATGCAGCACCCATAGGAGTGGATGTAGATATTACAGCTGAACAGAAAACTGCTTTTTTTAACCCCAAACCCCTTTATGGGTAAGCTCGAGCCAACCACTCACATCTCAGATGCAAAAATGAGAATGAGATCACCCATTCTCTTCTCCTGGGTCGCTCCACCCGAGGCCAGGACAGCAAGAAACCCACTCCCTGCACAGTCAGGCGATGCCTCCCTCAGGTGCTCCTGCATTGTGGGGAGCTGGGAGCCTCCCCCGGGTGTTCCACCCCTGATCCCTGGGTGTTTCAGGACCCCCTGGATGTTTTGGGATCCACTGATCCCCAGGGATTTCAGGACCCCCAGTTCCCTGGGTGTTTCAGGACCCCCGGATACTTCAGACCCCCAGTTCCCTGGGTGTTTCAGGACCTCCTGGATGTTCCAGGACCCCCTGATCTCTTGAGTGTTTCAGGACCCCCTGGATGTTTCAGGACCCCCTGATCTCCTGGGTTTTTCAGGATCCCCCAAACTCTGGGTTTTTCAGGACCCCCGATCCCCGGGTATTTCATGACCCACCGATCCCTTGGGTATTTCGGGACTCCCTGGATGTTCCAGGACCTCCTGATCCCCCTGGTGTTTCGGGATCCCCTCTTACCTTCCCGGCGTCCGCGTAGATGGGGATATCGTGGAAGGGGGAGATGTATCGCCCGGCGGCATCCTCTGCAAGGCAAGGGGAGAAGCGGGGGGGGAGTGAGATGCTGAAGGACACGCGGGCAGGACCCACGCGGGCGCGCAGGGGAGCGAGGCGGGCG